GCTGACCCCCAAGGTGCCTTCCTTCCCCATCCACAGGGGCTTTCTTCTCTGGGACCCCCTTTTATGGTATTCTGCCACTCCCACCTCCATTATAAACAGCAGGATGCCTGCTTCCTTTTGCTCCTAAAGCTCCTTCTCTCTTCTAGGCTTATCCTGCTCATGGTGGTCTGCTCTCAGCACCTGGGCTCCTGCCAGTTACCACCATACCCCTGGAGGCCAGCTTCAACATCTTCAACTTGCACTCATATCCCTACCTTCCGGCTGCTCTCGGTATGTGAGGGTCTGGGCAGAGGCAGGCAAGGTTAGAAGGGCTGGCATGGAATGCTTGCTCGGCACCCTGTCCTTTGGCCTCTGTTAACTCTCTAAGGCTGGCCCTGGAGGATCTGGGGGAGGGGTTCTTTTCCATCTCAGTCTTGCCCCTCAGGTGCTGGTCCCAGTGGCCTGTGTGTGGATCATGTCTGCCCTTATGGGTCTCAGCGTCATCCCCCGGGGGCTGTCAGCCTCTACTGAGGCACCATGGTTCTGGCTGCCTCACCCAGGTAGGTTTTCTCCTAGTCTTTCATCCTCTTACTCAAATAAAGGTGCCTATTTCTTTCAACTCAAGATTTAATGAATTTCATTTCTGAATTAAATCCTGTGCTTTTTCAAAACAACCAGGAGAGGGAAATTGCCTGTCTGAGGGGCAATGCCAGCCCCTCACCACTGGCATTTTATTTAGTGTTAAGAGACATTTACAAACCTTACCACTCCCTACTGATACTCATTACCCAATTTACACATTTATGCCACCTACCCCCTCAGGCATTTGAGTTGGTGAGCTATGCATAAAGATTGTTTTTGAGGCATTGTATATGAAATTTTCTCATTCATCAATTTAATAAATGTCTATTGAGTGCCAATTATGTGCTAGGCACGTGATAGGGGACCAGTGACAAACATGACAGACACAGTACCTGTGTTCCTGAAGCTTATAATCTGTTGGGGAATACAGAAGCTAATTAAATAGCCACACAAATAAATGTAAAATTGCATGTGGTAAGTGTAAGAAAGAGGAGGTACCCTGTGTGATGACAGCTTGTAATGGGGA